ATTCAACGTGGGTATCTTTGGGGCGGGTGCTAAATTTACAAAACAGTAACAGTGAGGCAGGAGGAGAGCAGACCAGCTGGGTCCTGTCTGCCCCAGCCTGACAGACTCCATCCTATTCTTCCTACATGAGATTTCACTGTCTGATTTTGTATATGTATAACATTTCCTCTGCTCTGTGTCTCTGGGAAGACTCTGACGGACACATTAGTTGTACCACCTGAACAGGAAGTCTTCCAATTCATGAATATCTTTCCATGTATTTAAGTTTTCTCTCATTTCTTTCAGCAGTGTCTTAGAGTTGTCAAGTGTATATAGGTCTTGAACTTCCTTAGTTAAGCTTAATCCTAAGTATTCTATTCTTTTTGTTGCTATTGTAAATGAAATGATTTTCTTAATCTCATTTTTGGGGGGCTCATTGCTAATGTAGAGAAATGTAACTGATTTTTGTGTGTTGATCTTGAATCGTACAACCTTGCTGAACTGGTTTATTAGCTCTAGTAAGTATACTGTGCATTCTTTTCTTTCCTTTTTTTTTTTTTTTTTTTGAGATAGAGTCTCATCATGTTGTCCAGTAGAGTGTTGTGGCATCAGAGCTCACAGCAACCTCCAACTCTTGGGCTTAAGTGATTCTTTTGCTTCAGTCTCCCAAGTAGCTGGGACTACAGGCGCCTGCCACAACCGCCTGCTGTTTTCTTGCTGCAGTTGTCATTGTTGTTTAGTTGGCCCAGGCCGGGCTCAAACCCGCCAGCATGTGGCTGGCGCCTTAACTACTGTGCTATGGGCGCCAAGCCATACTGTGCATTCTTTAGAATTTTCTTTGTACAAGATTGTATCATCTGTGAATAGGGATAGCTTTACTTTATCCTTTCCAATCTGGATGCTTTTTATATCTTTTCTTGCCTGTTTGCCATGGTTAAAACCCGTCAATTGCCAGGGCTGGACCTTCTAGAACCAACAGCACCTTCAGAAATGATGAAAGCAGGCATCCCAGCTTGTTCCTGACTGAGGAGGAAACCAGTTTTTTACCATTCAGTGTGATGTTAGTGGAGTTTTCATAGATATCCATCCTTAGGAAGAGGAAGCTCAGTTCTATTTCCAGTTTGCTAAGTAGTTTTATCTTGAAAGCATGTTGGAATCTTTCATGTTGGATTTTGCCAAATGCTTTTTCTGTGTCTTTTGGGATGATTGTGTGGACCAATTTATTTTTATTCCCTGTTTGGAAGACTTGGGTTGGAAATTCCATCTCTGTGGTTTGAGAGCGGATAAAAAAAGGGTTTTTATAGTTTTATAACTCTTCCCCTAAGTAACTGTAAGCTCAGAGCCATGTGAAGTGTTTAGGACAGATGAGAAAATAAAGTCAACTTCTGTTAAGGTTCCGCAGTTGGGGGAGGGGAGAAAAATGAATGATAATATGGTAGTAAAGGGGCTCAGGAAATTTCACCCAAAATATGACTCCTTAGTATAAAGGGTATTTTGAATTAAAGGTTCTCAGAAATTAACAGGCTGTTGGAAGAGGCTTTCCCTCTAATTCAATAAACTCCACTGACCTGCCCAAAAGATCACAGGGAGCAGTTGGCGTCCCTTCCTTCCCCCGTTACCACAGTACTGTGTATACTGCAGGAAGAAGGATCAAGAATGCAAGCAGACTTGCCCCAAACCGTTTAAACCTTATATACCTGTCTCTCAGGTTGATTACAAGTCAATCTGTCCCCCCATCCTCCCAAGGTACTGTTTACTCATTTACAGAATGAGTAAATTCTCTAAACAGAATTACATATACTCCTCATTTTCTCCCCTCTCCTCTAAAAGACAGGCGTGAAAATATCAGAACTTTATTGGGATATTGAGTAATCCCTCTGTGATCTCCCCATGTGCATGGTAAATCAGCCTCTTATTAACCTGCCTTAATTGTGAGTTGATCTTTCAGGGAACTCTGGTTTTCACTCACCCCTACAGTAACATTCAGTAAAAGACAGAAGAGGCTCGGCGCCTGTGGCTCAAGTGGCTAAGGC